GACATTTATTTCTGTGGAAAACCAATAGTCTTAGATATTTTCTCTGTGGTTCCTACCTCTGTGACTTTATTATTAATTAAGGCAAGGAGACAGGAAAGTTGGCAGAGAAATGTGTACAGCTTTTTTGAGATACTCACTCATGGCTATAAATAAAAAGGTAAAAGCAGAGATAATCAAACTGCCACGTGATAAAAGGTTTTATACAATGATTTAAACTTTTTAATGGTACTTTCATATGATTGTGAAGGTGTAACCTAGACAAAGAATGTTTGCAGAAATAATTTTATCCTGGAATAGTGGCTTTTATTTCTGACTATTATAAAACTTTCCATGTAGAGTTGTACTGAAGTCTAATTTCTACTCCAGACTAACCCAAACACAATAGCTGGGGATAAAGCACTGAGCCTTCCTTAAAAAGCTCCGCAGGTGACTCTAATAAGATACCTCAATTAAGAGCCACGGCATTAGAAACTTTAGAGCAGTGGTTCTCAACCTTGGCTGCACATTAGAATCACCTGGGAATCTTTTTAAAATCCTGATTTCTGGGCCTCATCCTCCGGAAATTCTGTTTCTTTGTAACTAATGTTGTGGCCCCACCCCATAACAAAGAAACAGAATTTCCGGAGGATGAGGCCCAGAAATCAGGATTTTAAAAAAAGATTCCCAGGTGATTCTAATGTGCAGCCAAGGTTGAGAATGACTGCTTTAGAGCAAGCATGTCAAACTCAAAGGCTTACATGGGCCAAATAAATAAGGTTTAAGTTTATGTGGGCCACAAAAAAAACAAAAGCTTCAATTTTCATAGAAACATAGGTTTATTTCGATAGAGACATGTTGAATACAAAGGGCTGAAATAAATGAGTAATCGTTAACATAAAATAATAGAACATTTTAATAAAAATTAATATTTTTTCTGAATAATTGCACAAATTAATAAGCGTAACGCAAATAAACCTATTTTTCTTGTTCTCCGAAAGCGAAATATTTCCTGTTGCACACACCAAACAAGTCAGTCCAAGACTTGACATGGCAATCGGCTGGTAAAATATTCGCTGCTAGTGTTAGTGGAGAGAAATGGTGCACGGGCTCGAAAAGGAAATGAATGCAACATGATTATAGTAATCAGTCATTAGCGAACATTGGAGTTTGTTATTAATAATTATGTAAAACAGGACAGTATAAAAATTAAGTTATGAAATTCTTATTAAAACGTTTCTTACATACCGTTATGTTGGCTGGGCCGCAAAAATATTCGTTATGGGCTGCATGCAGCCCGAGGGCTGTGAGTTTGACATGCTTGCTTTAGAGACTACTTCACAGAGAAAAAGAAGCAACTTCGTAAGAAGTGCTAAAAATGTGGGAATAATACCATTACATCAAGTGAACAAAAATCAACAATTATAATTTTAATTGTAACTTTAAACTAACCAGTTAGCCACATTAAGAAACAAAAGTACTCCCACCCCTAGCAGGTTTGGCTCAGTGGATAGAGCATCGGTCCATGGACTGAAGGGTCCCAGGTTAGATTTTGCTCAAGGGCACGCAGGTCAATTGCAGGCTCAATCCCCAGCCCTGGTTGGGGTGCGTAGGGGAGGCAACCAATGGATCCAATGCATGTGTCTCTCTCACATCTATGGTTCTCTCTGTCTCTCCCCCTCTCTCTAAACAAAAAAAGAAAGAAAGAAAGAAAAAAGAAATCAATGGAAAAATATCGTCAGGTGAGGATTAACAGCAAAAAAAGTGCTCCCAAGCTAGTAGGATGGGCAGTGGGAACAAAGGAGGAACACACCATTTTCAGACTTCTTTTTAAAAAGTATTTAGGAGAAAGTGATATTTACTCTTATACACCATTACACCTATTTTCATAATATCTAAAAGTTGATGTGGAAATTCCAAATCTGAGAATATTGTTTGAGATAAGGTCTGCAGTAATTCTAGGCATCTGCTTGTAAAAAATCATTGAGAATATTACAGTAGAGGGTAAGAAGCAATCATGGCAGATGACACAGGAAGATCAGTTACGCTCTAGAAACCTTTAACGGAACAGGGAAACGTTAGTTTGGGGCCTACCACCTGCTGGCAGACACAGACAGCCTATATCACATCTCTAACCCCCATCTGACCAACATGTGGGATGACTGATAAAGCCACAGCACCAGGCAAACAAAAATGCTAACACCAGTCTATGCAAAGTGCTAGTGGACCTTGAAAAAAAATCAGAAACCTGTGAAGAAAAGGAAAAGATTCTTTTTAGTCCACTAAAAAAAAAGAAGAAGAAGAAGACTGCATTTCACATTATCCACATGGGCTAATAAAACCCTTTGCTTCAAGTGTCTAGGGTTTTTCAGAAGGAACAAGAAATCATTGTATATTGATTTGTAACCAGGGAAGAAATGAATAAGAAAAATTCCAAAAAATAACTACTAACACTACACTAAACACTTTTTCTAAAGATAAGATTAAAAAAACAATTCCTGCTAGCAAAGGGAAAGAAGTATTAATAAATTCAGTCAATAACCCTGAAACGGATGTTGCTTCAAACACTTTATTTCCTCTTCCTCCACTCTCCCGAAGCAAGTTCAAATCGTCATCTTTCCTATCCTAGAGGGAATGATACTGTTCAAGTTACCAATCGCTACTATGAGAATGAGTAAGTACCATGAGCAAGGCCCGTGCTAAGTGCTCTATGTACACTATCTCTTTTAATCCTCACCGTGACTACATGTGTTCTTTCTCTTTCCATTTTACAGATGAGGAAAAACCTAGGTTTAGGACACACAACTAGCTAATGGTATAAAGCGGGGATCAAAAGTTAGACCTGACTCCATAGTCTGTGCTTGTAACTATAAACTGAAGCAGCGTTTTTCTTAGTATTCTTTTATCGAAAGACTGAAGTTCACATGCAATTTGGAATAAATGAGCATAAAGGGAGCACAGGAAGTGGTGTAGAAGTACTTTTTAATTTATCAAGATAAGAGCACCTGCATTGCTTTTTTAAGACGAGAAAAAAAAAAGTCTGCAATCATATAAAACCCCCAACTGTTTTCTGGCCCTGTTATTACTAAAATGGGCCAGTTTTGCTTGAACAAGACGGTCAAGCAGCACCTACAGACCACTGCAAATAAATCACTTTGGTTCCGTGGTGGGGAGGGCATTATGCAACGCTTCCCAGCACAGCCTTCACCAGGATATTTTACGGCCAAGGCACTTGGGCCCCTCCTCCCCAGAGCTAGACAGCCTGGCTCCTTCATATTCCCCTCAGGAGATAGGGTGGAAGCACACAGCTCCACTTTCTCAGGCACAGAGGGCAGCTGAAAGTCCTGCTCAGCCTCTCTGGGCAACCACAGGCGCCAATAAATCAGCCACAGGCGATTTCTCTCATCCCCTTCCTGGCTTGAAGTGGTAGTGAGATATAGTCTGCGCAAAAGAGCACAGACTAGACCGGGGCGATAAGGGATCTAGGCTTGAATTCTACTGCAAATGGCTGTATCACTGAAGCCAAGTAAATCCCTGAGCCTATTTCCTGGTTTGTTTGAAAAATGGAGACAATACTACCTCCTTTTGGTAAGTATAAGAAATTCATCTATGAAAGCAGCTAGCCACTGCAGGTACTTAATAAAAAGCAACCAAACCTGAGCAGGATCCATCTCCACTACCTCCACATAAAACATTCAGGGCAGGGCTGGGCAAAAAGGTGTAGCAAGTCTGGTGAGGTCCCTCCCTCCCTTTTTGCTGACTGTGCCTGTGATGTTTCACTGCTTCCTAATAACCTCCCAGCCACAGTACTCACCTATTCTATGTCCCACCCATCATTGTTTTGGTCCCTATTAAAGAGCTGATTCTGATAATGGATTAACAGTTTATTCTTAATTAAAACATAACAGATTGCTAAAGTGGATTTTGGTGCCTTAACCTTATGGAAGCAAACAGCGCTGCAAATGTTGGTTATTCTTGCAGTGAACAGGACTGAATGGGGGGTGGAGGGGGGTGGGGGGGAGAGCTTTGAGCTTCAAAGTACATTACAACCATTCTATTTCCCCTAGAAATAGTGCCAGTCCCATTTCTTAAAAATACCAAAGCCATCACACACTGGCCAAATCTGATTTCTCAAGACTCTGGATCAAGCCAAGTATAATCACCTCTGACAGATAGTCTCTATGAGTGGATTACACTGGCACTGCACTCCTGGTGTGGCAGAGAGAACAATGACCAAGGTGTCCGGAGCCCTCGCGTCCACTTACTCAAGAGGTGCAGGACCTCGATCAAGCGGCACGCTTGCCCTTTAGGCCGGTGTCCTCATCTGTAAAACAAGAGGGATGCACTGGATTGTTCTATACTGTCCCTTGCAGCTAAAAAATCTGTGATTGCAAAGTGTACTCTACACACTTGGCAAAATCCTGTGAGAATGAACAGCTTTACCAAAAAGACTTGATATCATCTCAAGAGAATGCATGCCCGATGTAATCCCTTGGGGAGAACCAGGCGTTAATTTAGGAAACAAGTTAGCTGCTGTCAAGGTCCAGGTGCGGTCCAGGGGCTGCTGGAGCAGCTTGTTTTCTCCCAGTGAGCGCGAGCCAGGGGAGGAAAGTGAAACCTGGGGCAAGCTTTAAAAAGATAACCTGGATGTGCTCAGAATGAGATTAATATGAAAAAAGAAAGAAATGAATCATGAGTCGGGAGGGGTACTTCCTGCTCGAGAAACAAAGTAATCACAAAGGAGGTGGGGGAGAGGGAAGACACTGGCCGCTCGCAGGCTGCACCTGGAAACGCGCCCACTCGCGAGAGAGGTCGGGCTGCTCGCGCGGATTCGCAGCCCGGTCTGCAGCGGGCGCCCTCGCGCGCCGTCCCAGCCTGCGCCAGGCCCCGACCACGGCCTCGTGCGGGCAGCGAGGGCGGCTCGGGCATCCTCGGCCCAGCGCTCCCTCGCGGTTGCCATTTTCCTCTTTGCCCTGATTGACATGTCAAACGGACCCAAAACACCCGTCTCCCCAGCTACTTGCATCTGTCCCGCGACCGGCGCAGCTGCAGGCCGCCGCCGCCCCGGGCGGCTCGCGGCGGGAGGGACCGAGCCTGGAGCAGCCCACGGGGGCCGGGCCGCGTCGCTTACCCAGACGCCGCCGCGGCGGCCAGCGGGCTCCTCCATGCGGGAGGGGCCGCTCCCGCGCCGCCAACGTCACGCGGCGGCGCCGGCTCACGCACCCCATGGGCCGTTCTCGCGCGGCTTCCCGCGCCGGCCGCCCCGTGACGGGCCCACGTGACCCCGCGCCGGGTAGCCGCGAACGAGGGGCGCCGTGGCCGGAGTGTGCGTGCGTGCTTACGTGCCAGCTCGCCCGCCCGCCCGGTCCAGTGGCCAGGAGGGGGTCGGCCCGCGCTCGGCGCCTCCGCCACAGTCCCCAGTCGTGACTCTGTAGGCGGAAGCGTGGGGGCGAGCCTCAGCGTTACAGGCGTCCCACACGCCCGCGTGACTCGGGGACTTTCCCCAGGCTGTGCAAAATCATGGGCGCCCCCTCAGAGCGGGAGTGGGGCTGGGGAAAGACGCGCCCGCGTGTCCGAGGGAAGAGTGATGAGGGCGCGGGGCCAGGGACGCCAAGCCGCGGGAGCCTGGGAGGGGGAGGCGGGCTGGGCGGGGTGGGGCATGGCGGGGGAAGTGACTCAAAGCCGGAGGCCGACGGGCCCGTGGAAAGCAGGGTGAGGGGAGCGTGGGGAACGGGCGACCCCGGACGGACTGGCCAGGTCCGGGACCGGGCGAGGGTGCCGGGACGCCCGGGAAGCGCCGCGAGGGAGGGCCCAGCTGCTGGTCCCCCCGGGCAGGGGTCTGCGGACGGAGGGGGAAAGCCACATCCAGCCCTCGGGGAGTCGGGTGGAGCCCCGTCCCAGGCAGCTGTGCAAACGGGAGGAGGAGGTCCCACGCCTACCCCGGGGAGAGGGGCAGGAGGGGTGGTCCACTGCGGCCGCGCCGGCCCCCGCGGTGCGGGTTGCGCCAGTCTCAGCGCCCGACGCAGAAACTTGTTGCAACAAACAGGCGACAGCGGGTGCCCCTAGCAGCCAGCGGCGGAGTGGGTGGGCGGGCGAGAGGGAGGGGAAGGCTGGCGGACGCCGCGGCGAGCTGGTGGGCAGACCCGGAGTCGCCGCGTAAGCGGGGCCGGCTCAGTGCGGTGCGGCAGGCGCGGCTGTGCGGCAGCGGAAGTCCTTTGTTGCAGCACAGTCCCCGGCGGAGCCAGAACCTCGCCGCGCAGCCCAGCCCGAGCGCCGCGCTTCGCCGCCACTGCAGCTCGCGGCCCTTTCGCCTCCGCCCGCCTTTCGCGTGGCTTCTTGGCCTTAAACTCCCGAAAACCCCCGCACCCCCGGGTCCCGCGGCGGCCGGTGAGTATTTGCCAGCTGTGGGACAATTTGCGCAACTTTGGCCCGCGCCTCCGGGCGGCGGGCCGCTGGGCCTTGGCGAAGTGCGGGGTCGGACGGCGCCGACCCTCGCGGGGAGCCGGAGCGTGGCGGACGCGCCGTGAGGACCCGGCGACGGGCGGCTGCTGGGCGGCCTCCCGCTCCCGCTCCCGCCGTCCGCCGGCGCGCCGGGTCCGGGACGTGAGGCCTCCCGGGGTCGGAGCAGGAGCCCCCTTGGAGACGAGTTCCCGCATCAGTCGCCTCCTTTTCCCTTTCTTTCTCTGCCTTTATTTTTTGGAGGAGGGGGGGAAGGGAGGGGAGGTGTAGACGGAAGGCGGGCGGACGCGGCTGATTGACGTGCCCGGAGCCCGCTTCTCTCCTCGCCGCGGCGGCTCCCCGACGGGTGGGAGGGGAAGCGTCCGGGCGCCGAGGCCGCAGACTTGGGCGCGCTCCGAGGAGGAGGCGGAAAGCCGCGCAAATTCTTGCCACGCTCTTTCCCACCCCCTCTTGCCGGCACACAAGCTTTTTGTTCGGTAGAAAGTGTCGGGTCTCGGGTTTGGGGATTTTCAGCGGAAAGGGTCTCTTTCCTGGGAGAAGTGCTTTCGCTCTAGGGTGGGCGCTTTCTAGAAGTTGTGTCCGTGTCCGCCGAGGGCGCGGGGTGGGGAGCGGAGTCGTCGCCGCTGAGGCGTGTAGGCTGGATCTGAGCTCAGCCGCCTCCCACTCTCCCGTTCTATCTAACCACGCATCTGTCTGCATGTGATCGGGGAGGTTGACATGACATTTCCCGGGTGAGGAGCGTCGGGAGCTGTCGGTGAAAGCCCCTGATGTTTGCTGGAGGCGGTAGGAGATCGGTGTGTGTGTAATAATATCCCTCCACCCGCGCGGTCGGTACCTGCACGGTCTCCCCTGGTCCACGTGTATTCCCACCTGCAGCGTGCATCACGGCAGGACAACTGTTCCAGGAACAGATTTCCCTTTGACACACACCCAAGGGTGGGTCCAGGCTTTTTGGGGAGACCTAGAATCAGTTTCTTGCGCTGAAAGTTCAGGCCATTCTGGAGCAGATTCGGAGAAGGATGCAGTTCTTATAATTTCAAAGCAATCACTGCCTTCTCATTTGAAACAGTGCATTTAGAGTCTGTGAAACTCTGTCATTGCAGCTGGATGGGTATGATGGGAAGAATTGGGATACAGAGTGATGGAGCTTGACTGAGGACTGGCCAGCAGAACCTCAAAACTTTCCTCCACATCACTTGCTGGATACCTGATAAAGTCTCAATAATAACTGAATGGCTTTGGGAGCCAGATGGGAGCGTCATCATCTTAAATAAAGTTAAAGCATAGTGGCAAAGAAATGCTCCTCCAAAGATTGATAAGGATAGTTCGCAGTAGAGCCTTCAGATAACATCTTTTTTTTTTTTTTAAATATATTTTATTGAGTTTTTACAGAGAGGAAGGGAGAGAGATAGAGAGTTAGAAACATCGATGAGAAACATCGACCAGCTGCCTCCTGCACACTCCCCACCGGGGATGCGCCCGCAACCCAGGTACATGCCCTTGACCGGAATCGAACCTGGGACCTTTCAGTCCGCAGGCTGACGCTCTATCCACTGAGCCAAACCGGTTTCGGCCAGATAACATCTTATATTTATTTTAAAAGCACATTTGTCTGTTATGACCAAATTTTCATCTCATAGAATAACGGGTTGAGCAGTCCTCCTGAAGCCTTTCAATTCTTCCCACTCCTATGTAGTGGCCTACCTTGGGGTGGGGGCTGGGGCATCATTGTCCGGGAAAACAGAAACAATGTTAAACCAGGACCTTCCCAGGGCATGAACACAGCCTCAGCCACTTGCTCTGGACCTTGTGTTTTGATTTTGCGTTAACACCACTATACTTTTGTACTTAGCACCATTTCCCATTCTAATGGGTAGGAGAACAGAAGTGCCTGCCTTCAGGCCTCTCCTCCAGCCAGGAAAAGTGCTAAGCCTTTGCTATTAACCTTCTGGCTCAAAATGGGGAGGAAACCATTTGGGATAAAATGCAGAAAGTGTTCCATAGATTTTTATTTTTGAGCTACAATCTGTTGTCTTCCCCAAAAATCGAGGTATAGTTGAAAAACATTTGCTTGAGAGGTCACTCTGATCTCTATAGGATGTTTTCTCCTGATATTTTCTTCTTGTGCTAATATCCCTTACCATAAAATATTAATATTATTTATTCTAATACTCTTAAAAATTTTTAAATCCACACTCCACATGCTTTTATTGATTTTAGAGAGAGAGTAGAGAGAGAGACATCCGATGTGAGAGTGTACGGATGACACTGCAACCAACTGAGCCCCTCCAGCCAGGTTTATTCTAATATTCTTATATGAACCAAATTAAAAGTGATTCGTGTCCCTTTTTTTTCTCTCAAAATGGAAGTGCTTTGCCTGGCTGGTGTGGCTCAGTGGTTGAGGCTGGATCTATGAATGGGGAGGTCACGGTTCGATACCCTGGTCAGGGCACATGCCCGGGTTGTGGGCTTGATGTAGGAAGCGGCCAAACAACTCTCTTATCATTGATGTTTACATCTCTCTCTCCCTCTCTGAATGCAGTAAAAAAAAATTTTTAATTAAAAAAATGGAAATACTTTATTATAAAATCCATGCTCTTTGTGAGAATTCAACCTACATTGAAGTACATAAAATATAAAAATCATTCTGACTCCCACCTCCCAGACATAATCACTGTTAATAGTCAATTCCTTGTTTAAAATGAGAGGAAACAAGATTCGATCATAACTGTGCTGCTGTATATGCCTCATCCTGCCTAGGGATGGCCTGTCAGATGATTCATGGGCTCATGTTCTCTGTTCACTACTCACATTGGTGAGAATTGACCAGGTAGAGGAAAAGGAAATGTTTTGCATTGGGCTGATTTGAAATTCTGTAATTAAGTAACAAGCATGCGAGTTTAAATATAACAGGGCTTCTATTTTAGGTCTGTCCTTATGAAGTGCTTACTGTACCATGGTGGGCTAGTGTTAGTTCTCACACTTTAATAGTAATGTTGATGTCCAGCTGCTCACGGATTGATTTATGCCAGCCAAACTCATTAAAACAAAACCAAACCCTCACATTGTAGGGCATTTCATAATTTATAAGTTGGGAAGGAGTGGGTATACTTGCCATGAAGACTACTGCCAAGATCTCCTGTGCTGCTGTGGGATGAGGGGTTCCTCTATTCAGAGGTAGCATGCCAAACATGAAGGAAAGGAAATTAGAGGAAAGAAGGGGATTAATGACGGTGGTTTCAGATGTGGCATGGAAGGAGATGGTACATATATAAGATAGATTGCTAACTATATATTGTGGCTTGCATGGTAACTACAAGTGATCTTAGTGCAAGTACAGAGTCACATGTTACTTAGCCTGGTATGTTTAAGAAGGAGCAGCTGTGACGAAGATGATGTTCTGAAAACAAAATAGTGCATACACATTGAGTCACAACATCGTTATTTGAGTGTGTTGGAGACATGCATGTTTTTTTTTACACTACTATGAGTTTAAAATAATTTTCAGAAACAAAATTGGGAAATTAAAGAATTAAATCACCAACCAGGTTTTCTATTCATTGTCCAAGATGTATGTAATCCTTTTTAGAGAAAACTGAAGCGCTCCATCCCCACTTTAATTCTTTAGTGTTACAGGAGGGCTTGGAGTCAGCAGATGGAAGAGGAGGTAGGGAAGAGGCAGGGCATTCTACTTGCCATACGGGGCACTTTGAGAATGGGGTGACTGCAAGGCTTAGAATGTTCATTCCAAAGGGACACTGGAGTTCACTGTCATTGCCAGAGTGTTGTCTAGTTTATAAAAACTGAGACTTAGGGCTCAGATTTAAAAAAGAGTTTGAGCCACATCTTATAATATGAGCATTTGATATCAGCCACTGAACCTGTTTCCTATTTACAAAATGAAGTTAATAAAAATACCCACCTCAGGGTTTGTGTGAGAATCAGTTGTATAATGCATGGGAAATTGCTTTGTAAGTTTTTGGCCACTGTAAAAAGGTAGGTTTATAGTTGTTAGTATGGGAGAATAATACAATAATCAATATATATAAAAGTCGAACGACGGAACGACCAGTTGCTATGATGCACACTATGGTGGCCAACCAGCCAGATCGGGGCCCCAATCAGCCCCCCGCAACCTCCCATTGCCCCCCCCCCCGCAACCTCCCATTGCCCCCCCCCCCCGCAACCTCCCATTGCCCGCCCTCCCCCCCCCCCCCCCCCCGCTGGCCCAACCCCAATGGACCCCATCAGGGCGGGCCGGCCGGACCCTGTGCACCGGGCCACTAGTAAATAATAATATAAGTAAACTCTGTTTCACAAACTCACAACTGTAAACCTATTTTTGCCTGACCCTTTACATAAAAGTTGCCATGATTGAAATAGTGCAAAAAAAAAAAAAAAAGATAAGCAAAATTTATCTACTTTAACATTTATTTATTCAAAAACTGATCAAATATCAACCAAATATCAGGCTCAGGGAGGGATACAGTGATGACTAAAACAGTGCCCTGATCTCAAGGAGCTTGCAGCAAAGCAGGGGAGCCACATAATTATAATCCCCTGTTATCAGTGTGGTGATGGATATAGCATCCCAGTTTGAATGATAGATGATTTGTCTCCCTATAGTTGTGGGTACAGGCTGTTTTAGAAGCACAGAAGAGAGGTGTCTGACAATGAGCTGGACATAGAAAAAGCTCTAAGCAAAGGGAATAGCATGTATGAAAGCATGATACTGTGTTAGGTGCTGTAAGGATGAGGGGGATCTTAAAAAGATTTAAGGATTAAAAAATGAGTTAAGCTTCTTAGAATGAACACACTTTTTATGATACTCTATTGGTTTCATTTCATTGACTTTTTAAAATATGTATTTTTATTGATTTTTAGAGAGGAACTGAGAGAGAAATCGAACTGGTAACCTTTTGGTGCAT